TTCAGAACACCCTTAACTGTCCCTTTGATGTTGTCTTTGGATGCCTCTAACACAAGTAGCTGTGCTTTGACTTAAAGAATTACTGCAAAAGAGCAGCTATACAAAGCCGACCATTGCAACAAAAGAACATATCTGCCAGCATCAGTTATAATGCAGTAACCCATAGCAACCAATATGATTTTGGTTTACTTTAGTTAGATCAGGTAAAGAAAACCTGTCATAAGAGATAACAAGGCTGCTATTGTTGACATTCCATTGGAAGATACTGGCTGCCAGGCTGTCATACTGACACTTTGGGTGCAATTCTTTTAAAGCCACTGACTCAAAGCAAGTATAAAGAGAAGACATTCTGACTTTCATTGATTGGGCAAGTATTCTGGGTCAGTGACTCATAGCTATTGCAGCCACACAACTAGCATTCTCAGAAGGGGGCCAGCCATGGCAGCACCCTTGTTTCTCTCATGATTACTGTACTTTAAGTGATGATTTCTGGTTGCATTGGAATAATCATAGTGGACATCATCATTGCTCTTGGCATTGCCTTACCATATAAGCTGCTTTGTCTAAACAGCGTTTGACTTGTCTATTTACAAAATGTTCTACTCTATGTTTATGTGTAATATACTGTACATGGTAGCATTTTGTGTTGGTATTTGTCATATAGATATTTTCCGTAAACTGTATAACGTTAGACATAATAGCATTTAATAAAGTTAGTACTCTTGCAATGTTCGTGTTCTGGGAGTGCACTGTCTGCATGCAGTTTGCATGTTTTTTGGGGGTTTGTAAGGGTTTCCTCATGGTGCCACAGTCTCCTACCACAGTCCAAAAACACCCATCACAGTTCAAGGACTGTGAAAGTGACACACCAGCTGCTGTCAGAATATAATAGCCCAGCAGGAGATTTTTCCATCCACGCTGCTCAGTGTGGATGGAGGAATCTGTTATATTTTCTGTGTACGGCTTCCAGTTTAAACCAGGGTTCTCAAACTCAATTCATCCAGGGGCCAATGGACATTTTTTTTCTCCCATGGGGGCCACTTGTCAAATTTTAGACTTCAAAATAAAATTGAACTGTATATGATACCATTGTTAATGTCTGAGTGTGTTACTAATGTTGATATGTATTTGTGATGATTGCTTTGTATGCAATGTCAGTATATTTTTTTTATGAGTTTGTATTTGTGTACTGTCAGGAATTCTGTGAGTGATGCCGGTATGTGTGTTAATGTTTCTGTGTGTGTTGTATCAGTATGCATACTTGTGTATGTGTGTGCAGCGTCAGTATGTGTGTGGTTTTTCCTACATGTTTTAATTTTAATCAAAGAGGGCCAACAGATTCACACATTCACTCACAAGTAAACAGAAATACACACACACACACATAGAAATATGCACCCTCCCCACACACAAAGACCCCATTTACAATAAGTTAATGATCAGGTGACAAACGCTGCACATCGCATGTAATGGTATGCGACATGATTACATGCAGTTCGGAAATCAATCACTATCACTGGATGCATTGATCGATACGTCCAGGGAGAGTGATTGATTTCTAACCTCAAGTAATCATATCACATACCATTACGGTGTGCAGGTGTTTACATGCAGCGGTTGTCAATGGATAATTAACTTGAATGGGTGACAGCTTCCACCTGTAAATGCCAGATAAGGGATTCTTGCTGCAGGAAAATGCAAATTCCTCATGCAGAAATCCCTAATTGCTCCTAAACTAACATACACACAAATCCACAATAATACGCTCCCTCCATAATAGTACACTCCCCCCATAATAGTACACCCCCCCATTCCCCGTGTTCCCCACAATAATAGACTCCCGCCAGACCTCACTAATCAATCCTTTCGGCTGGCGTTCAGTGACGACAGAGATGCAGACCACGTAGCTGCTCCCGCAAGTCTGGTACGTAGTCCGTGACCGCATACCTGGCTTGTCAGCTGGCCGGTACTTTGAGACCGCTGGTTTAAACCTTTTGCTGCCACCGATATACGGCATATGGCGGAACACAACTGTTTCCAGCTGCCAATGTCAGTATGCCATTCATTGGTGGCTTTTACCATTCTGCTATAAGCTCATGGTCGCTTTAGCACCCATGAACTTATATCAGAACGGTTCCCGACGGTCCCCTTTAAATAGCTTTTCAGCCACTGATGACAGCTATTAACAAAAATTGCGGAAAGTAAGCCTGCTTGATTGTCACTTCCCCTCCCAGCCCCGCCTGCTGCATTCTCTCACTGTTGTTCTTCAGATTTGGGGCCAATAACCGCCCACTGTCTGTTATTGCCCGCCGGCTCTCTCCCCGCCGTGGTCCACCGCTCCTCTGGGGGACCCTGGACCACAGCAAATTAGAGCAGGTTTGAGAGCGGGGAGCAGAGAGGAAAACGTCAGTTCTCCGCTCTTCTCCATGTAAACAGTGAGGGGCAGAGCTGCACTCGCAGCCTTCCCCTCAGAGATGTGCTGTGCTCGCACTCCTGTATTGATTGACACTAGATTCGCAGTTTTAAGAATTAATCTACAAACTGCATTTATGAAGACATCTTAGGATGGGACAATAAATTTGGCGCAAATAAAGCCAAATATTTTACATGCAAACAGATAAGAGTAAAAATAGGCGCAAGTGCAATGATAAATTCCCCCCTATGTGTCTCCAGTTATGAATGAACAGGAAGTGCATTACATTACTTCCTGTTCATTCATGAGTTTCCTAATGGGTGGAAGCCTCAGTATACGAGCTTCTACCCATTCATAAACTGGATGATAATTAATGTTTTACTATCACCAGTTATAATCCGTTTATGACCATAAACATTTCCCCGAAGGCCTCCCCCCCCCCAACAGCAAAAAATAAATGTTTACAAAATAAAACACAATCCCCCTCCCCCAACACATAACATACAGAGGTGCGTAGCTAGAATGCATCACAGTGCTTGAGTTAAAAAAATAAATAAATAACATTAATTTAACTGTGGCAGCGCATGGCCACATGGTAGAAAAGTCACTCGCACTCCAATAAGAACTTCAGTCAATGTTCTTTATTGACAAAATAATTGTCACATTGTATAGCGACGTTTCTGAAACGACACTAAACGATGTGATAATTATTTTGTCAATAAATAACAGTGACTGAAGTTCTTATTGGAGTGCGAGTGACTTTTCTACCACATGATACTGATCTGCAGATGTATCTGCTGTCATCTCAGCACCCACCTATTATCGTCAGGAGTGCAATGGGATCTACATGAATTACTTTTGGCAAATCATTGCTGTGCATTGCGATATGCTGTGTTGTGATTAAATGTACGCCTGTATCATTTTATCACAACACAAACACCAACACAGTGCACAAAATTTTTTAACAAATCGCTTATTTAGTTTTGTGTTAATTATTTTTTTTTTACTGTTTCTTAAAAAGGCACAATTAAAAATAAGTGTTTTTTTTCTGTGCACCGATACTGATTTTAATGTGCTTTATCAATTGAATTGTGTATATTTATTGGTTTAATATTGATTTGAGAAACATTTGCGCAATTATCGCAGAACCTTCAAAGTTAGTAGCACCATCTTTTTATTCTACCGGGCCTTATATATATATATATACACACACTATATTGCCAAAAATATTGGGATGCCTGCCTTTGACCCTGCACATGAACTTTAATGGCATCCCAGTCTTAGTCCGTAGGGTTCAATATTGAGTTGACCCACCCTTTGGCGCCATAACAGCTTAAACTCTTTTGGGAAGGCTGTCCACAAGGTTTAGGAGTGTGTCTATGGGAATGTTTGACCATTCCTCCAGAAGCGCATTTGTGAGGTCAGGTACTGATGTTGGACGAGAAGGCCTGGCTCGCAGTCTCCGCTCTAATTCATCCCAAAGGTGTTCTATCGGGTTGAGGTCAGGACTCTGTTCAGGCCAGTCCAGTTCCTCCAACCCAAAACTCACTCATCCATGTCTTTATGGACCTTGCTTTGTGCGCAGTCATGTTGGAACAGGAAGGGGCCATCCCCAAACTGTTCCCACAAAGTTGGGAGCATGAAATTGTCCAAAATGTCTTGGTATGCTGATGCCTTAAGAGTTCTATTCACTGGAACTAAGGGGCAAAGCCCAACCCCTGAACAACAACCCCACACCATAATCCCCCCTCCACCAAACTTTACACTTGGCACAATGCAGTCAGACAAGTACCGTTCTCCTGGCAACCGCCAAACCCAGACACGTCCTTTGGATTGCCAGACAGAGAAGCGTGATTCGTCACTCAAGAGAACACGTCTCCATTTCTTTAGAGTCCAGTGGCGGCGTGCTTTACACCCCTGCATCTGACGCTTTGCATTGCACTTGGTGATGTAAGGCTTGGATGCAGCTGCTCGGCCATGGAAACCCATTGCATGAAGCTCACTACGCACTGTTGTTGTGCCAATCTGAAGGCCACACGAAGTTTGGAGTTCTGTAGCTATTGACTCTGCAGACAGTTGGTGACTTCTGCACACTGTGCGCTTCAGCATGCTCTAACCACGCTCTGTCATTTTACGTGGCCTACCACTTCGTGGTCGAGTTGCTGTTGTTCACAGTTGCTTCCACTTTGTTATAAAACCACTAACAGTTGGCCGTGGCATATTTAAGGAGATTTCACAGATGGACTTATTGCACAGGTGGCAACCTATCACGGTACCACGCTTGAATTCACTGAGCTCCTGAGAGCGACCCATTCTTTCACAAATGTTTGTAGAAGCAGTCTGCATGCCTAGGTGCTTGATATTATACACTTGTGGCCAGGGAGGTGATTTGAACACCTGAATCCAATGATTTGGAGGGGTGTCCCAATACTTTTGGCAATATATTGTATGTCCAAGTTTGGGAACCCGGATAGTTTACAGAGTCAGGGGCCGCTATGCCTTTTTGTGTTAACTAGATTGTTTGCTGTGGAATATTTGCATTGTAAATTTCTGCGTAGACTCAAGATTAAATGAAGATGCGACTTACTGTCTGAGAACCAACTGGAGTTGCTGCACACGGAGAAGGGCCTCATCTCGTTCTTCGTTTGCCAGTCTGAGTCTAGCCATAATAGCCTCATCCCGCTCACGCTGAGCACAGTATACTTCTTCCACAAGTGCTGGGAAGGGACAGAAGGGCATGAACTGAACTAATGTTTTGCAGTTGACAGAAGCACAATTAAAAGTACAGAAGGGTACATGAACAAAGTAAATGCATACCAAATTAAATCAAGGATAAATTTTGATTCCAAGACAGTACTTCTCACCTTGGTTGTAGAGGACTGGTCAACCAGTTTATCACATGCGTACTGATGCCAAGCTGGTTGTTAAAGATCCTTCTGCCTGATGATCAAATACAATATCCTCTATCCCTGGATGAAAATGGTGAGCTCTGAAGCCAAGCAAACTGCAAGCATGCCTACTGCAAAGCTCAACTAGTTGGTCACCCCTAATGTGGCTGTCCCAAGCAGTGACATGAAAGTTCACAGGATTGTGCCACAGCTCACGCATTAGATCTGCCAGAGAACCTGAACTATGGAAATTGTGCCCAAAAATGGCAAGCAGAGGGCAAAGGACAAGTCACCAGTACTGCCTATGGTTTCCCTGCAGGTGATCTTTCCCCCCTTACTGACCTACCATGCATTGTTTCGCACTGTCTTTGTGGAGACGGTTATCTTGGTAGAGAAGAATTTATTCCTAATTTTAAGAGCTGCCAACATAATAACTGGTAGGGTAATGATCAAGAAACAGCAGAAGTGGAGGACGCACAGATACAGAAGTAGGGAGATCCTTGCGCTGCAGCAAGAACAGTGAGCAGCACAGTAGTGACATAGCTAAATCTTCCGCCATATCTCATGAGATTAGTAGACATACAGCTATCAGACTGTAGACACAAAAGTGCCTAGGCACAGGTAGTGCTCTGTTATTTTTCAGGAGGAATTTCAAATTAAAGATATTTTTCAGGGTACTGCTTAGGCACAATCACATTTCTAGATGTTGCCTATAAAATAACAAATCTTCACTTTTTCAGTTCAGGTCCACTTGATAGTGCCTGCATATTTTGGTCAGAATGGTATTCCATCACCTAGGGAGCAGGACATCTCAGTTGATAACCAGAGAACAAATTCCTTGGCAACAAGACCAACTTCAACAACTACCACTATTAAAAACTGTTTGATCGTTGAAATGAAACTGTAAAAGTAACGTTTTCAAACAAAGCTTTTTTATTTTTATTAGGATAGGGTTGGAAATGGTTTGATCCAATCCCCTAATATTATGTTTGTAGTCTGTGACCCCAACAGAAAAATTTCCCTTCACCCCCAAGCCTGCTGTGACAGCCAGGCCTCAGCTGTGAGCTGAACTTCCGTGTTCCTCTCTCTGGAGTGTATTTTCCATATGTTCCTATGAATAACCTACTGGGGGCTAGTAGCACTGCCATTAGGAAACAGACATTTTGGTTGTGCCTCATTAATACATTAGACCCAAGCTAGTACAAATGCCAATACAATCAAGCTAATTAGAATAATGCAAACAGAAGTGCATCATCCGAGATTTCTTTTTCTTTCTTTGACTTGCAGTAGATTTCAATATTTACACAGTGAAGGTTCAGAGCAGTTACATTACATTCACAAATATTATCACCCGCTGTGTAAGCCATAGAGGAAAATCCTCCCTCCGTTGATGTGGAAGAGAAGATGTTTAAAAATGGAAGTATCCAAATAAAACGGTAAACAAGCTTATCAAATATCTGGTAATTCTTAGTCAAATGAGACACACCGCCGAACATTTATTTATTTTTTTGGCAAATATTACGACTTTGTTTAGGGACCTAATTGTTATATGATGCAAGTAGAAAGCAAATGTTGTAAGTGGGGTAGGGACACGGTAGGAAGCGAATGTGTAAACTTGCTGCACGTGTAGTTGCCCAGCTGCTGTCCTGTACATAGAAGCTATCTGGGTTTTGTTTTCTTTTACTACAATGCTTAAAGCAGAGCTCCAGGCACACAGAAAAAAATGCTTGCATCCAAAAACCATTAATGCCCAACTGAAGCTTTACATTGTCACAGAGGTCAGGTACACTTCAAAGTCAGATCAGGTTGGCTTAATAGTAAAGAATTTGTCATTTTTTAAACCTTTAAAAAAATATATATATTTCTAACGTGTGAATGCTTTAACTCTGTATCAAACTGCCCTGTGCTGGCAGGACGTTGGAGATGCTGATGTTGCTTTCATGGTGAGGAACTCCAATGGTCTGACAAACACCCTTTACATTGCTACAATCAACAGCGCTGCTCAGGGAGCGTTGTTGATTGGAGAAGAGTCATTATGACTGTGTGGTGCTATCTGGACCAATAAAGAACCAGACACACTGCACTGTGTGAGAGCAGTAGTCCAAAACTCCACAGGGCAGTCTGCCACAGTGACAAAGCACTTTCACAAAAAACTGACATATTCTTTACTTTGAAGCCATTCTGATTGCATCCCACTATCCCATTAAATAGGTTTAACTGCTCACGAGATTGAAACTGTCAGGTACACTAAAACATATTGTCGGCATTGACTTGTGGACAGTTGGAAAAGTAGTGCCCTTTATTATTTGTTCATCTGGAAATAAAAGACATCTCTGCTGCACAAAAGATTTACTATAGTGTCCACTATAGTATTTGCAGGCACTTTTCAGTGCATGCTCTTAAGCTGACCATACACTGTAATATATTCTTCATTCAATACGCAGGCTAAATGAAGAACATATTAGATTCCTCCATCAATGCTTTCCTGCTGTTTGCATTGTATTCTGATTGCGGCCGCTGGCCACTGTGAGAATACTTAACAGAGTCGGCAGCTTATTGGCTGCCGCCTCTGTGCGTTCGAAGGTTTTCCAAACAGTTCATTGGATCAGCTGATTCTTGATGATATTTGTATAGTGTATGGCCAGCTTTAGGCAATAAACATAGTTTGAAAATGATACAGACAGGCCCACAATATATTGTATGCATAATAACTGAAATTATTCTTAAGTCCCATAATCGTATACACACCAGAAAGCAGACTGGAAATAAGACTTGTGTGTAAGGTAGGTCAATCAACGGATGCTAAATCAAGAGGTTGCATAAAGTAATCTGGCAAACGGGATAGTGGGCAATGTGAAAGGGCACAGGAAAGCTGCCAGTGTGGGGATGCATACTGTCAAATAAGTAGGCTTAATGCAAAGAGTACACCGAAAGCCTCAGTGCTGCATGCTCTGAATAGTAGTCTGACTATTTCGTCTGACTGGTAGAAGAATCACTAGTTAGCCAAACAGAATTACAAATATTTTGTCAGGTTAATTACATTTATAATGCCAATGTATATATGCATTTCAGCTGTGTATTTCGATGTTTGCATAATGTTCTGATTTAAAGCTGAACTGAAGGCATTAAAACTTTCATTTACATAAACTCATCAACAGCTACAAAGCATATAAATCCACTTTATGTGTACTAAATGCCTTCAGAAACCCAGTTTTTACCTTGTAAAAGTAGCAATTACATCATCACTGTGCTGTACATAGCCTGTGCAGACAGCAGAGTTGTGGGTGGGGCCCAGAAGTTAGGACCACACTTCACAGAGGTGCCTTGATGGGCGGTGTGGCTTCTACATATTTTTGGCCAAAGGTTTGTGCAACTAAAACCTCTGCTTTTAACGCATACTGTTAACAGGGTAATTTGTTTTCTTGCAGGCTAGCTGGCAGGTGTGCTGGGGATTTTTTTGTGTTTTGTATTGTTGTAAGCCTTCCCATGTGCACTCTGCTACAGAGGCTGGTTATAAATATATGCGGTTACCATCTTTTTCTAGTTTTTCTTTCTTTTTCCCAGAAGGCTCCACCCACTACTGACTACCTGCAGAAAACTACAGGAGGGAACGGATACAAGACCAGTCACCCCTCACAAGGAGAGAGAGTTGCAGTGACCAGTCTTTATTACACAAGGGCTAGGTAAAACCATCTTGCTCAGGCATTCTTCCAGTGCACTAAGCAGAATTTACATTTGCTACCTTTTGATATGTTATTTCTACTATAGACTGTGGATAAATGTAGCTATTGATAGGACACAGATCCCAATTAGGGCGGTGCTACCTGACTGGTTGTTCTCTGCTGTTCTTCTTACCTCACTGCAAGTCAACCAGACAGGATGTGCCCGATTAAAAACGAACAATGCAGTCTGTAATGAGGCGAAACACCCACAATTCTCTTTGCAGCCAGAGACCATGTGACTTAGACTTCTTAGGACTTTTTTTTAATAATGGAAAGATATTTTTTTTCTTTACTCAAAATAAGTCAGGGCTACATAGGTGATGGTAATCTCTTGGTATGAAAATTTAAACCTTTGTTGACAATTCTCACATTAGCAGCAGCAGCATTCGGGGGCCTTTCGTTGTCTGTTTTTCTATATTGGATGCCCAATATAAGTCTATGGGCAGCCGTGTACTCGGTTACCCCCGCCTCTGGTCAGGACTGGAAAACAAATGGATCAGAGATCTGTTTAGTGGGACCTGATTGTTTCGGATCAGGGTTAAAGGGTACTTAAACCCTTGCAGATTGTTGCATATATCTACTGCTAGCAAGCAGTAGATATATGCAAAAACATAAAAAAGTTACCAAAGAAGTTTAAACTTACCTGTTTCTCGCGCGCTCCCATCCGAAGATCTGTAGATTCTTGGGGGGCCGCAAAGGATAATGGGGCGGGTGCATGCACAGTACAGATCTGCGGCCGGGAGACGAGGAGAAACAGCTGGTAAGTCAATGCAGGCAGCCAAGCAGACTCTGTGGGACACATAAGAAGCAGCAGTCAGCGCTGGATCAGAGTCAGGCACCAGCGCTGGAGGGACTGGTGAAAACTACAGGAAAGAAGATGATGATCGGATCAAGAAGCATCATTTAAGGTAAGTGCATACACCAGCATTGGGGGGGGGGTCATTTTTTGACTTTTGACATGGGGTTCAGTAATTGCAGTCATTTCAGAAAACTGTACGGAAACGAATGTCACAGCCGCTCCGTACTGCTGTGATCATGAGGGGATCCATGCCTAACATTAGCTGGTATTGCTGATTTATGTGAAGTGTACATTTTTATGTCAGGTCC